CCTGGCTTGAAAGCTGCATTGAAAGTAGCTTTCGGAGCTTTACATTATTCCTGCACATTGTTTTTATGCAGAAATGTAAGTGTGCTTGATACTGTACTGCATGTGTGTATGCTACCTGCTATGCTGGATTGTCAGTGTACTTATTTTACACGAATGAGAGACGCAATGTGATCAGTATTCAGAGTCTGTGGATTTCAAAACCGTCAGACACTAACTGAAATTCATCAAACTCAGTAATACATAATGTAAATATATACATTATGTCCAAAGATACATGCATGCAACTTTGCACAAATAGCTGCTGCTGTGGTTACAGAAAAGCTTAATAAACGTATGATTGGCAAAGTGATATACCTTAATATTTGAAAATTAGAATCACAGCACCACCTACAGGCGGCACCAGAAACTGAAGATTTCCCTGAAAGTTTTTTTTCATTGGGTAGATTTTTTTTAATCAACCTGTTGAGATGTATTATAATTCAATTATGGAGCTGTTGGGACTTGAACCCAGGCCTTTTAACCCAGAGATAGGGACACCACCATTCTTCCACAAAAGTCCTACCCTAGAAGTTTTTAATGGAACTCCTGTCACATGTTATGAATGAAAGATCAGTACTTGACAACTTCAAGACAGTGTAAAGCACTTTACAGTCAATTAAATAGATTTGAGCCATAACCACTTTGAAATGACTTAAACATGGCAATTAATTTGTGCACAACAAGCTGCCAAAACTAACAATATGATCATGACTAGATAATGTTGTGGGGACTGTGTAGGGCAAACAGAATCTGCAGAAAAGTGGCAGATGAAATTTAATATTGTTTTGGGATGGTGCACTTTGGTAGAGGGAAAGGAACGTAATGGCACAGGCCATAGAGTCATAGAGATGTAGAGCACAGAAACAGACCCTTTAGGCCAACTTGTCTATGCTGACCAGATATCCTAAATAAATCTAGTCCCATTTGCTAGCATTTGGCCCATATTCCTCTAAACTCTTCCTATTCATATACCCATCCAGATGCCTTTTAAATGTTGTAATTGTACCAGCCTCCACCACTTCCTCTGGCAGCTCATTGCGTACATGCACCACCTTCTATATGAAAAAGTTGCTCCTTAGGTCCCTTTTAAATCATCCCCCTCCCACCTTAAACCTATACTGTCTAGTTGGTGACTCCCCACCCTGGGTAAAAGACCTTGTCTAACTACCCTATCCATGCCGCTCGTGATTTCATAAGCCTCTATAAGGTCACCCGTCAGCCTTCGAGGCTCTGGGGAAAATAGCCTCAGTCTATTCAGCCTCTCCCTTTGGCTCAAATCTTCTAACCCTGGAAACATCTCTGTAAATCTTTTCTGAACTCTTTTTCAAGTTTCACAACATCCTTCTTATAGTAGGAAGATCAGAATTGCACGCAGTAAGGTCTAGAAAGTGTCAGGACATATTGAGAGAGTTGTTAACAAAGTCTGGGAATTTGGGCTTCTTAAGTAGAAATATTGAGTACAAAAACAAGGAAGTGATGCTGAACCTATATAAAGTCCCTCCTGTGCCATTGCTCGAGTATTGAGCCAATTGTGGTCACCACTCTTCAGGAAGAATGGAGCGTCTTTGAGAGGCTGTAGAAGAGATTTACCAGAATGATTCCAGAGGTTAGGCATTCTTGTCTCAAAATTAAATTGGAAATGTTGGGGTTATTCTCCTTGGAGCCAAGAAGATTGAAGGAAATTTAGAAGAGGGTGTGCATTATTATGGCAGGTTTAAATTAGAGAGACAAGTATAAGCTGATGCTCTTAGAGCCCTCACTGATTTTTCATCATTTTTATTCTTTCATCACTTTTGGTTTGGAGCTGGGAACTGTGAGCTAAGGATGTCTAGATGACTAAAGATAAGCTAAAAGGAAAACTTTAAAGCAAGTGTTTATTTATTCATGAGGCCAGGCTTGGAAGTTAATTACAGGTTATTCCCTGACCAAAAGGTTTGGCAGACATTTCATTGCCGGGAACAGCATTATGTTTAAACAGACAATAGCAGAAGTTAGCTATTAACCACATCAGTACTTGGGAATTGGTTCCAGCAAGTCTGGAAAAGACATTATGCTCAAGCAAATGGCAGATGTTGAATGGTAACTGGGTGGAGGAGATGGTTAATCTATGAGGGAGTGGTCAGCATTTGAATTGGACTTTGGACTTTGTTTTCTGTGGAAAAAGAATCTGATAGTTGATGCTACAGCATGAAGATTCGAAAGCTCCCTGCCTAACATCCCATGAGCAGCTCTTGGAAGCTCAGACGATAGAAAACTAAGTTACAGTATTACTGCCTTTATCTGAGTGAATTAAAAAGGCAAATCTGATCAACATCTTCAGAAAATCAAACAAGAAACTATCACCTATGCTTGTGAAACAATCACTTAAGTAATTTGGCCAGCTTTGTTATTTTCTTTCGTTTATCCCTTGGCTCACTTGTTTATTTGCCAGTCTTTTGTGTGAAAGAGCGGAAAACAAATATTTTTTGGATTTAAAGCATAGATCAAGTAAATTACTTTGTTAACACAGTGTGGAGCTGGAGGAACACAGCTCGAGACCCAAAACATCAATTTTCCTGCTCCTCTGATGCTGCATGGCCTGCTGCGTTCCTCCAGCTCCACACTGTGTTATCCCTGACTCCAGCATTGGCAGTTCTTACTATCTCTGAGTAAATTACTTTGTTGTTTTGCTAAAACACTATATTATTAATAAATTGCTAATTCTTTTGTTTAAGGTACAAGCAATGTCTGAAATTGATTGTCCACAAGTCTGAGATTGGTTATTCAGAAAAGTCTGGTTAAGCACCATTTGAATCAAGTTTGGCAGTCTTTGACAGTATTAATTTTACTGTGTTGTGAATACAGAGGTAGAAAGGAAGATTTGGTTCAGCTAACTGTTTCCATGTCATAACAGTGAGTGCTAGGTAATATAGATTTAGGACTTTGGACGAGAAATGCAGGGAGAAGAGGTGAGGAAGAAATTTTTTTTATGCAGCAACTTGTTATGACATGGAATCTGCTGCCAACAGTGGTCACGGAAAAGGAAATGATTAAAAGGATATTGGATGAACATTTGAGGGAAATAACCTTACGTGGTTGGAAGGATTGAGCATGAGAATGTGGCTGGCAGTATTATTGTGGAGAACTAAGATGAAGCACAGAAACATTGAATCATAGAAAATAGGAGCAGGAATTGGCCATTTAATCTCTCGAGCTTGCACCACCATTCAATATGAACATGGCTGATCATTGAGCTCAATACCCTAATCCCACTCTCTCCCCTGCACCCCCATATTCCTTCATTCTTTTAGCCACGAGAGCTATATCTACCTCCTCCTTGAAAACACACAATGTTTTGGCCTCAATCACTTTCTGTGCTAGTAAATTCCACAGCCCCACCACTCTCTGGGCGAAGAAATTTCTCTTGATCTCAGTCCTAAAAGATTTACCCCTTATCCTTAAATATGGCTCCTGGTTCTGGACTGCCCCACCAATAGGAACATCCTTCCTGGATCTACCCTGTCCAGTCCTGTTAGAATTTTATGGGTTTCTATGAGATCCACCCTCCCTCCCATTCTCCTAAACTCCAGTGAATGCAATCTTAATGGACTCAATCTCACTTCATATGTGAATCCTGTCATCCCAGGAATCAATTTGGTAAACCTGCGCTGCTCTCCTGTATAGCAAAATAACCTTCCTCAGATAGTCAACAGACCTAATGGTTTCTAGCATGCTTTAAGGATTCTATAACTGATGATGTTGACTGAAGTGTTGGTCAACTGACCGTCTTTGAAATAGTACCATTGGATCTTTTGCATCCATCTAAGGGAGCAGATTGGACCTTGGTTTACTGTTTCCTCAAAAAGCACAATTTTTCAGAGTGCAGCACTGTCTCAGTGGACTGAGTTCTGTGCTCAAGTGTCTGGATAGAGAACTGAGTCCACAATCTTCTGACACAGAGACAAGAATGCTACCGACTGAATCAGAGCTTACACTGATTCATCAGATATCTGTTACAATTGTGTCTGTTAACGAGACTGTTCCCTCCACTAAAGATAATCCACTTCTCTAGTAAAATTATTAAGATTATATTTATGGTTAGATTAGTGAAAAACAGTTCACGTTGCATGAAGTAGTAGTAGGACTCAATCACGTTGATGGAGAGCAAGTTAGGCTGCATAAGGAATAGGTCATGTTCTGGGGGCAGACCTGGGAGTCGAGTGTTATGTGGGAACAGAGTGATCAACCATGAAAGGTGGAGCAGGCTCAAGGGGCCAGATGGGCTATTCTAATTCTAATTCTTATTCTTATGGGACATATCCTTGGGAGAAAATGTATTTTTAAAATCAGGAGGCAGCTATAAACCGACCCTCAATCTTCTTACGGTAGGTCTCATTTGAAAGCTATATGATGGACACATGCTAGATCCAAAACTTTTTACATGGATAGATAATCTTAGTTATTGTATGGTCTCTTATGGTATGCATCCATAAGAATCTGTCATAAATACCTCCTGCTGTCTTTTTTTTAAATTCTCATATACGGTACTCATTCATTCTGCAGCAGTATATGTCGGATGCTTCTGATTAATATTTTTTTGATGAAGAAATTCCCTCAAATTAAGAAAAGTAAGCCAAATTCTGTAGTAAACTGTATTTAAATTGCATATTATTGAGGAACGTTAGGGTAGGTTTCATGTATGGTTCACAGTTCAGAAAGCTGCTCTGAAGGTGGGCAGTCCAGGAAATTGTGGGCTCAAATGCCTGATTTTCCATCCATTTAAATTGGTGAACAAATAAATCAGCTGTGTAGGCCTGTGATTTCTCTACAAGCACTCTCTGCAAGTGCCGTTCTGCGCTAAGACTATCTATCAATGCATCAGCCTTTTGAAGTAGCACAACAAAATGTGTGTGTGTGCGCTCACGTGCATGCTTGTGTTAAAAATAAAGTGACGAGGAATAAATTTCTGCGTTCCTTTTCAGATAACACCTTTGGTAGAACGTCATTTACCCAATGATGATATGAAAACAATTTACATTTCATCCAGTCCTGAAAATGAATTTGTTGAAGACAAACCTGTTAAAGAATATACAGAGCTACCCACTTCCCATGAAGTAAGTATTGTTTCTGTTGAACCTAAAAGTAATCTAATGCAACATCCAGGAGAAAATTAATAAGAAATAAGTTCAGTTACTCAGCTTAACTCATGTCAAACCTTTGTTTAGAAAGGCTGGATGACTTGAGCCAAGTGACCAGTACTGGAGTATTTGAAATGGAAGTGTAACAAACAAGTATGATTGCTGTAACCTCATTTAAATCATTTTCTTTTGCTTGCAAATGGTGTTGGAGATGGTTGTAAGTAATTCTTAGGCAATTTCTTCAGTACCTTAAAATGACAGCACAGTGAGTTTAGACTTTTGGATGATTTTTCCCAAATGAGATAGGATGGCAAATTTGAAGGGGGTTCGATCTGCTCAGTGACCCCATGCCAGGAAATTTTACTGACCACGTTCAACTTCTTTTTGCCACATGGAAGATGAAGCAAAGTGAAATATTCAAATGCTGTCTTATTAAGGCTCATTTCACTATTTCATTAGCATTTTTGGTAAGCTGACATCTTGTTAGGAACCTCTTGCTAAGAATCATTTATGGTTGTTTTTCTACCCTTCTAAACCAAATAGGCCTTTAGACACAGTGAAAGAAAGGGGAATGGTAGCAGCAGTATTCTACCCACAAACACCCCATGTACAGGGAGAGGGTTTAGAAGCAAGGGGTATGGTGGTATCTGTCAGCAAGCACATCCCTGCCCTCTGTCCAGTTTCTTGAACAGTCCACCCAAATCACTCCTCTTTCTGAAGTGACAATTGGTCTGCAGTGTTCGAGCTGTTGGGCATGTTACATGGTGACAGGTCTGCTTGCAGCTAGGTTAGTCCCAGCAGCTGTGGGCTGAATCACTTATGTTATTCTTAATTGGCCACCTAAGAACCTCAACTGGCATTGGGCAGCAAGGCCGACAATAGACCTTGCCCCTCAGAACTTAATTCAGAAGGAGAAGGCAACAGGTTTTGTGTATGTCACCAACCTGCCTAATTAAACACCCTTCCTGCCTCCAAGCATCCCACCTTGGGGACCACAAGATTCTGCCCATTGCTTCCTGAGGATTTTTGAAGCAATTTCTAGTCTGTAATTTAACATTGATGTTGAAGACTTCTAAGTTCCATAATTGAATGCTGAAATATCTTTGATTTTGTTCTATTTTTATTGGAATTTTAAAATTTTTTATTAATTCTTCGCCAGAAACTTTGTTCATGAATTTGAAAGAATTCAATTAAACATTACATAAAGACTAATTTATTTTGCCTTCACAAGATACCATGCTTGTGTATCATTGTGTATCCACAAAAGCCAGTGAGATTTGAACAGGTCAGCTGATGTGGCAGGTCTGTTGACTTATTGGTCAAAGGACATTAAAAACTAATTAGAAATCAAAAATCAGTGAAAATTGAAAATACAGGTTTATAAGTGTTTCTTCAGTGTTGATATTTACAGTCCTAGTTGATCATTTTATAAGTAAATCAATATTTTAACCACAAAGAAGTTCATTTGTTAAAATGAGCTTGTGATTTAACTATTCTAATTTTGGAACTAAATGCTTCTCTGGTTCTACTGGACATTTTCTTCCCAGTACCTTCATTGATCTTAAACAACCTCTGGATGCATTCTGCTTCCTCAGTTGACTTCAGACCTGAACATCAGATACCCCAACATGACTCCATGCTGTCTAAAATATTGAATTCATCTCGGCATAGTACTTAAGACTTTAATTTTGCATCACTTCATGCACTTTCCAGTACACTGTTTACAAATATGACATAAATTGTGAAATTTCTACCATACCTAGGTAACACTTTAGGGACATTTGACATGTGAATTTTGGCTGACACTACATCCAAGCCCATTATATTTATCTTGTTGTTATCTACTGCCCACTCCATCTGTTTTTGTTTTCCTTCACTTCCTAGGACTTTGCCTCTTCACCTGTCGTTTATCCCCTCATATGCAATTCACACTGCCAAATTTGCCACTGTTTTTCTACCTATGACTCTTTCTTATATTATCTCAAGCTTAAATTCCCTGTGAATAAGCCTGTACATGTTCAATATGTGTATTTCATCAAACATTGGTGCTCCTTGATGTACATTTTTCCATGCAGCAGACCTGAGGCCTGACCTCACCACACTTAGTCCTGCACTGCTCATGTCAAGTACAACTGTCCCTTTAATTCTGCTAACAATCACTGCCTGTTTTATGTTTGTTCTAAAGTGACTATTAATTTGCAGTTGTGTTAGAGGAAGTATACTTGGGAGAAAAAGAAGAAACTGTGCAGTCATTTTTATTCGTTCATGGAATGTGGCTGTCACTAGCTAGGCCAGCATTTATTGCATATTCCTAATTCCTCTGAAGAAGGTGATTTTTAGGTATATTTTAAGTCATTCATGGGATGTGGGCATCAGTGGCTGGACCAGCCTTAATTGCCCATCCCTGGTTGCCCTGGAGGACGTGGTGGTGAACTGAGAGGGAACAGCGATATATTTCCAATTCATGATGTGAAGTTGGTCTTCCCATTTATTTGCTACTCTTGTCCTTCTTAATGGTAGTTGTCTTAGATTTGGAAGGTGCTGTCTAAGGAATCTTGGTGAATTTTTGCTGTGCATCTTGTAGATGGTACATACTACTGATGCTGAGTATTGGTGGTGGAATGAATCAATGTTTGTGGAAGTGTGCCAAGTGGTGAGGTGGCTTTGCCCTGGATGGTGTCAAGCTTTTTGAGTGTTGTTGGAGCTGTATCTATTGAGGCAAGTAGGGAATTTCCTTCACACTTCTGACTTGTGCTTCTAGACGGTGGACAGGCTTTGGGAGTAATGAGGTGAGTTACTTGCTGCTGTTGTAGCCACAGTACTTATATAATTAGTTAGTTCAGTTTCTGGTCAATTGTAACCTCAGGATGTAGACAGTGAGTTATTCAGTAATGGTAGTACCATTGAATGTCATTGTAGATTCACTCCTATTGGATTAGGTCATTGCCTGGCACTTTTGTGGCATGGATGTTATTTGGCAATTGTCAGTCCAAAATTGGGTATTGTCAAGGTCTTACTGCATTTGGACATGGACTGCTCCAGTATTCCATGAATTGCAAATTGTGCTGGACTATATACAATCATCAGCAAACATCTCTACTTGTGGCAATGAGCTGGTTTCTTGAACGACTTTGGAGCTAAGGACATCCACAGTGTGTGTAGGAATTTGACCCAAAACCCAGAGGAAATATTAATAAAATTTCATATCAAGGTGGTAAGTGCTTCAGACAGAAATTTGCAGGGAATGGAATTTCCCTGCCCCTGCTACAATTATCCTTCTCAGTGGCAGAGGCATGTGTTTGGTAGGTGGTGTCAGAGGAGCTTTGGTGGATTACTGCAAGCATTGAGTAGATAGTACATACTGCTTTCAATGCTAAAGGGTGGAGGAAGTGAATTTTGCAGCTGGTGGATATTATGTTCATCAAGTCCTGATGTCCTCAAACTTCATGAGTGTTTTTGGAGCTGCATTCATTCAGGCAAATCAAGGGAATTTGATCACACTCCTACTTGTGCCTTGTAGATGATAAAGAAGGACTGGGAGATCGGGGGTGAGTTACTTGCTGCAAAATTCCAAACCTCTGACTCTGCTGTTCTGGCCACAGTAATTATATACTTTTATGAAGATGTTGCCTGATGTCAAGAATAATAAATGTAAATGTTTTGGGCTTGTTTTTCTTTTAAAGAGGGACAATTTCATGGTGACTTGATAGAACATATATATAGAACATAGAAAGTAGGAATATGTGGATAGGAACAGACGGTTTCTGGAATAAGAGAACACGGGTATGAGAGTAAGTATAAGAGATTTAGCACAGTGAATAGGAGCATTGTCTTCATGTAGAAGGTTAATACTGGATTGACATCTAACAATAAGTTAGACAAGTACTTGCAGGAAAGATAAACAGGAATATAGGAACAACATGGACCTTAACTACTTGTGTGGAAGACAGCCACTAACATCAAACGGCTGGACTGGTCAGCCTGTTCCCATAGTAGGTTGTACCCCCTCACCGGTAGTGTGCTAGAAATCGAGCCACAGACATTACCTGAGTCGTCCCAAAAGTTAAAAATTTTTAAAAATACCCCAAATTCACCAATTTGCTTGTCTTTTAGACTGAGGTTGACAGAAAGTATGGATCAGGTTTCTGTGCCTATTAAAAGTTATTATTTATTGCAAATAAATAGATTCTATCCACACATAAACAATTATGAACTGTTGATATATAACTACAAGTTAAGACTTTAACCCCACCACCCTTCTATAGACTGACACTGATGGGAAGAAAATCAGGAGTGTAATAGGCAAGGGGAAAGGCTGGCAAGACATTCCAATGGTCCCTGTTCACAGGTTTGCTGAAATGGTCCTTTTGACTTGCCATGACATGTTGGTCCTTGATTCTCATTCTCCAGCTGCTTTCACTTGCTTGCAGAAAGAATAGAAGGGTGGCTGCTTCACAATTATAGTCACTGGTTAACAGCCACAGCTTAGAACAATTACGGAGGAAAAATTAAACTGTTTTTTAAGTCTTAAGATGGTTATTAATGCAGAGCAGAAATACAGCTCCTTTTCGGAGATCCAATTACTTCTGCCTATCTTGTTCACGCCCTAAGCCGCTCAGTTATCTGGGAGTCAGTCACATAGTTGTTGGTTGGCAGAAGGCTTTTGTCATTACTACCTGGTCAATAGTCCATAGACCAATCAGCTACTTGTCACCGGCCAAAACTCCATTTGTACATAGTTCCTTGGTTTCAACTGATCTGTAACTAGGCTTTCATTATTTCTTGAACAAGTAACTGTGTAACAGCACTTACAGTGAAGTTACATTTTTTAAAAAGTGCAGCAATCTTTCAACAATCCTTGGTTTCTAAACCAGTCCTTTTCCAAATATTAAAGGACACGGTCTTTACAATAATCTACAGTATTTGATGTAAATGCCTTTGATTTCTGTGAACATTTTTGATGTCCTTCTGATATCTTATTCAACATTTTTTCCCTTCGTATAGACCATTAAATGTTTTACCACATGAATGATGCCATGATGATTTATTACAGCTGTAATAGATGTGTAATATGAACCTTTCTGTTTCTTATTCAGAACTGTGATTTTAGACATGCACTATTATTGTAGCAGCTATGTCAGCTAAAGCACTGATGAAATAGGAGGTTATCTTTTTCCTGGTGCATTTATGATAGGGTAATAATTGTATTTAAAAGTATAAAACTTTTTTGTTGAGTGAACTTAATGAGTTGTGATGATATATTTTTAAACAATTGCTACTGTAAGCAAAAATTAATCTATTGTCACCAATACCTGTTTTTTAAAGCTGAATGGATTGTTTCTTCCTTTGCAGTCACAGGCACTAGAGATCAAATCGCTGAAGAATCAGATTGCCAAATGTCAGGAAAAGCTACAGGAACTGGATGTAGTACAGAGTAGGTTGCAGGCTTTAGAATGTGCGACAGCTGGAAAAGTAATTATAGATGAGAAGGACTGGAATAACCTGCTGAGCCGTATTGTACTACTAGAAACTCAGCTGTTGCTGCATTCCAGAAAGGTAAGCTGGAACTTTATTTTTTGACATACTTAGTTTGCTAAATAATAAACTCGCGACTCAACTACAGGCAGCGTCAGAAGCAAGTCTGAGCCTGATCTTATCCAGTGTGAACACTCTCACAATGCTAAATGGCTTATAATCAGGAGTGAGAATCTCTAGCCTCCCTCCCTTATCCTCCTTTACTAGCCCTTGAGCAGATGAAATGAGCTAGATGAACAGAGAACAAAAATCAAACTGAGGAACTTCTGCCATAGTTTCACTTCTCCCTGTGGAAGCAAAATAAGCCACAACAAGAGGTCTCTTTAAAATAATTATTTCTAACCTTCCCATTTCTTTCCTTTTCTCGAAGTATTTCCATTGAATTTCAATTCTCTTGTATCTCGTTTTGTACTATTTCTTTAGCCCCTCTTCCACCAGCATCTCTGAAGTTTGTTGGTCTAAATTTTGAATGGAGGAATCCTGTGCCTACCATGATTCAGGAGCATCAGCACTGTTTGCGATTGATGTTATTCACCAAAATAGCTACTGCTCCTTCTCACGTGTTCTTGTTACAAACTTCTTCACTTTTTCTTGGAATAGAACAAAGAGCCTTATTTTAAGGGCTATTGAAGGGAACCACTTAATGGCTATACTGGCATCAGATGTACGTTATAATTTTCTAGAATACAGTATTTATTAAGGGAAAGCAATCTAATGTATTTACTATTTTAGTATGGTTTTTCAAATCAATATTTAATGCATCCCAGATTAAATAATAACTCAGATTTTCTGGTAGCAGTGGCAGTAAAACAATCAGCATTAATATAATTACAACTCTGAAACTGACCACTGCTTCTGGAGTCACATTTGACCACTTAAATGTGGAAATCTGAAGGTTGATATCAGTGATTCTACACTTTGCTTGAGAGTGCGCAGCTTCCTCTCTACGCGCCCTCTTTTCCTCAACTTATTCAGAGATTATCAAATAATATGCATTATTTGAGAAGGAAAAGACGAATTATTGGCTCTTTCAGAGAACTGACGTGCCTAATTGACTGAATGGCCTCCTTGTGTGCTTGATGAATCTATATAATGGAAAACCATAAAGTGAATGAAATGTTATGATATATACTGTACACAATGATTTTCATGTTACAATCTTTTCATCTCTGTAGAACGATATATCTTCTGATTCCGTCAGTAGGAATGAAGAATATACATTTTGCCCAAAGACAAGCTGCAATTCTTCAGGTAAACTGGTTCCATCTTGAAGTGTACTATTAATTTTACACAATAGTCTCTCACAATACATTGTTGTTTTAAAAGTTGTCTTATATAATGTTGTGCAAAGGACGTTGTATTAGAAGTCACCGAGTAGAGGATATAGTTCCCCTTCGGAAAGAAGTGCAGTGAAAAGTTTACAGTCGCTGCATTACAGCGCCATCTTAGGTACAAAGGCACCTAGATACAGATATTTAAGATTAAATACTTAGGAAACAAGAAAAAATTAGAAAAGTAAAGAAATAAATAGTTCAGCATTATAAGTCATAGGAATGAACTAGAAAAATAAAGAAGTAAGAAGTTCAGAATGTCAGTATTTCTGACCAAGTCCATGCTGGCACTTAGCCTCAAGGGAGACCTCCGCTGCCTCACTGCCTCGCTGCCACCTGCACCAGACCCACCAACATAGGAGTCACCCCACTTTAGGTGTTATCTCTTTGCCACTGGGCCCATTTTGCTGATGCCGCTGAATAAACACTCGCCCCACAACCAAGAGTTCCTGGTTTCACTGCCAGGCCAGGCCACTACCGGGCCACGATTCTCACTTTGGTTGCAGATGTCATCTTGCCGGCACTGCCATCTTGAAGAGGCCGCTGCTGCCAGCGTTGCCATCCCCAATCGCTGGAGGAGTATTGCTGCAGCCAACCCCGAACGCCGGGAGAACGACCTCACTGCTGCTGCCACAGGTCCTGAATGGCAGGAGAATGCACTCGCTGCCGCCAACCTCCTATTGCTGGGAGAACGTCCTCACTGCTGCTGCCACCCGTCTCCAATCACCGGCAGAACATTAACCACATGTCCAATAAGAGTGTCATCAGTACTGCAATTCATAACATTTTTATGTACATAAGTTGAAGGTGGTTACAGTTCATTAAAAACTTGCATTTCATAATTGACTTGTTTTAAACTGAAGACTAAGGAAATACAAACTTGTTATCATTAAGCTTTGTCTTTAGCTAGTAATTGCAGGAATAATTTGATTTTATCCTAAAGACAGTCATTATTAATGTCTACACAATATATGAGAAAAATTGTAGTTTACAGCAAAAGGTACATGGATAATTATAATGGTTGTGCTCATGCTTGCAGTAGTTGTAGGTTTGTTTGCATTGTACCGACTCATTTGGATATTCATACTACTTTGAAGTGTCATTCTTGTGTCAAACCATGATAAAGTAGGAATTCTGGAGGTAATCCAATTTTGCTTTACTGTTCAGGAGGTGTCAACCAAAGTTGCCCTGTAAATATTGGCAAGAGGAGTAAGTTATCCCATTTTGGAGCTGAGCCAGTAACGTCTGGAGTTCTAAACAATGCCTGCCCTACTTTTTTCTGTGCACTGTAAATCACAACGTCTGGTATCTGACCTTGCATAGGCATGCCGAAAGACAGAGGTTGACCAAAGATGAATATTTCTTTGCAGATAAAGAGACGAGAGTTGAGACGCCAGAGAGTCTTAGCCATCAGTCATCTGGATACAACTCACTGCTATCAGCAGACGAATCACCCAAAGCAATGAGTAGCAATTCATTATATCTGACAGAAGTCACAAAGGTAAGAAAGATTGGCAAAGGTTTCCTTCAAATCTTTATAAGGTCTGGGGAACATGCTAACATTAGATGCACTTTTATTCAGGCAGTTACATTGTAAGTATGACCAGCATTAAGATGCAAGAGCCTGAACTGAATGATCAGGATGAAAAGAATGAGAAACACGCTTACTATATTTTCATTCAGCCTTGCCTTTTAAACAAAAAGAAAAAGAAGTTGCTGGACAGTTCAGTTTGACAGCTCAGCTTGACACAGACATAAATAAAGGTAAAATATGATTTCCTGTGACACTGCACACAAGTAGTCAAGACCAAGGACACGTCTAGGTCAGTAAGGGTTAAAGAACAGCGAGATAATTGAACCAAGGTGGTGGAGGGAGGAAAAGACAGATAGGAAAGAGAGCAATAACGGGGTAAGTAGTTTGTAGAGCAAGAAGGTAGACTGAGTGGAATGAGGGAACAGGGGATGTAAAATGAAGAGGAGAAAGGAGTGACACTGGCGTAAAGAAGGCAGAGAGAATGTATGAAAGTTGAAGATGGAAGAGGAAGAGGAGAAAACAGATTGAGGGGAAGGATTAGATGGGGCTTATTGCATTAAGAAGTAAATGGGAATGGAGGATGGGATCAGAGGTGAGAAGCAACTAGAATGGGTGGAGTCTGGGATTAGATAAAAAGTGGTGTTTATGCCCAGTGTTACTGCTTTGCAAGGGCCCAAATAGTGTTGCAGTGTACACTTCTGTTGTAAATATCACAATATCTTCATATATCAATAGCCCTTATCATAGTTAAGTTAAAGCTATTTGCTGTATTCTGAACCTTTCCAGTTCTGCCTATAAATGTCTATAAAATGCTTACCTCAGAGCAGGCAGGAGCAATCCCTTGGCCCAATAAGGCCACTTTTTATTGCCACAGCTGTTTAGAAAGACCCTGACTTGACTACTCTTGCACTGCTTAAACAGTCTGGTGTCCATACTCTCGAATTGCAGCTACCAGAGTTGTCAGAACTTCTGATTTTGGGCTTTTAATAAGTTTTCACATCAAGCTCAGACAGTCCCTTCTGACTTCAGTTCAATATAATCATCTGACCTGTACCTAACTCTCCTGTCCCACCACTGCTCTGTTCACACCAGGATATCTCATGTCACTAATAGATGGAGAGACCTGAAACTTTGCATCTTTGTATCTTTTCCTTCACTTTGGTATCTTTTCAAACATGGTTTTCTAGGAGCAGAATTTAGGAAAATTCTCACAGTACTGTACAAATGAAATCACTTGGGATTGAAGCTTTGAATCTAAGAAGCAGCAGAGAAGGTGGCGGGAGAAGAGGAGATTTGGGTGGGTTGCCACTGGGGAGATATCAGCTACCTCAGAAATTAAGTCTGGGTAGGAGGCCCCAAATTTGACTTCCCTGTTCTGTTACTTTGACCTTTATAAAACAGTTCAACCCCTGATTTACAGACAGTACATATGTTTGTGTACGTATCTGAGTCTCTCAGATCGTTTTAAGTAAAATAATATGAGATTTTAACAGTGAAATTTCTGTAGTGGATGTGTTACTGTGAACTAGTACATTGCACGTCTTATTGGTAGTTGGCCTTTCTCAAGTGAGTGTCACGTTAGTTGATGTGTAACAGTTGGAGACTACAATCCTGTCAGATGTCAAATACATGATCTTTAGATGCTGTTAGCCTTCCCCTTCCATTTTTGTAAACACCCTCAACGTCAAGTGAATCTCCAGTTATCATTATTAATATATCAAAAAAGTGGGCATTCTTTGTAAAGCAGTATATCAGATCTTGCTTATTTATTGTGTATTCCATATTGAGTGTTAAGTGCACTTCCGAGCCAAAGTGGTCCGTCTCATTCCAAGTTACAGTGCATCAGTTTTCAGCAGTATTTCTCTAGCAAAGAAGAAAAAGAAGTTATTTGCTTGATATGAACAACTTCTTTATCCCTATTTTAAAATTCTCAATACATCCAAGATATGACTCAGTCAACCTTTGGAAGGCCTTCTTTTCATGTTTGACTCATCTCAGTTTAATGAAAACTTTATAAGATGCACAAAAACCACGAAGAACTGAGGGAGCTATTAAAACTGGATCATTAAACACATTAAAGTATAGATATACTTTTAATAAGTAAGGGGATCAACAGTTATGGGGAGAAGGCAGGAAAGTGATTTGAGGATTATCAGATCAACCATGATTTCATTGAATGGTGGAGAAAACCCAATGGGCCAATTGGCCTACTTACGCTGCTACATCTTAGGAAAAAATGTTATACACTCCCCTCAAGCAGTTAATACCTGGCCACCAGCTCTTAGTGATTTCTGTACTTGATCCTCTAAATCTCTCTGACCTTTTACACTTCCTATTTCTCATGGTTTAGATAATAATCCATTCTATATTAGGCCCAAAGTGGATGAGCTTACATTTCTCAACACTGATTTGCACACTCCTATGTGGCAGTGTTCCTTTACAATTTTCTCTTTCTATCTACAGTACTCTGTCACCTAGGTATAATAGACAAACATGTATCTCTGTCCCTTCATCAGTCCTATAAAAATACATTGAAAGGCTGGGACTCCAGATCCACAGAGGACATTATTAGACACAACTAGCCAATTTGAATACATTCCAGTTACCCTATTCTCCATCTCAATCCCTACCAATATCAAAAGGTTGCTATCAATTGCAGGTGCTTTTGTTGTTGCACCAAATGGAAAGTTGACATAAACAAAGATCTTCAGACATTTTTCAATCTATGCGACCTCCAGATGGAAAATGCACAGTGGTAAATTCACTTGGGTATTTCTGCTTGAACTATCACTTTTGCAATTGATTCATTGTGCTACCCAGCATACTGCTTTTGAGAGCTTGCGTTTGCCTGAGAAGGATTTCCAGGGTCAATTACTTTTTCAAAATGGAACAGAATTGATACGAGAAAATAAGCTACTGCGGGTAAAAGCAATTTTCTGCTTTTCTTGTATATGGAGTCCTCAAACAAAAGTCTCCATTTCTATTGATGCAGTAATGGAGGCAATTCTATGTGACCTGGGGGGCTCCCTCATTGACAGTATGGGGGGGAGGTGACCAGCAGTGTAAATGCTGCCTCCAGCAGTGTAAATGCTGCCTCCAGCATTTAACCTTTTTGATTAGTTTGTTGTAATTCAACCTAATTCAGACATATACAGATGATGCTGACGAACATTAACAAGTTCCTCATCCCATCCCAAATGACCAACAAATAAACACCCTTATTGTGATGTGGAAAGTTCCATTCACTCAAAAACAACAGGAGATTCCTCAAGAGAATGCAAACCTGGGAGATATGGATATTGTCGCAAGGCATTCTGGAGAATCCCTCCATAGAAAAGTATTAGAGCCATTTCCTCCTTTTATGGTGTCAGAGTTATTAGTAAAAGAAATGGAAACCTGGAGGATTTTTTTGGGGTACAGTCTTTTATTAAAGAATATTAAGGCCATGAACTGATGGCTCAAAAAACAGTTAAAAGTAGTGAGAAGAAAAGATAATTACAAAAACAAGTAAGTTAGCCTACAAAAGTGGTGGGGCATGTAATTTATCATTATTTTCCTTATGTTTTCAAGAATAATAGGGAATTTGAGGCCCGTAAGTAGAAATTGCTTTGATTTTTACTTTTTATTTTTTGCAAAGATTTGTAGCTCGGGCTGTGGGTGAGGTTGTTGACTTGCTCACCGAGCTGGTTTGTTTTTGTTCAGACGTTTTATCATGCTAGGTAACCTCATCAGTGATGTTACCTAGCATGGTGATGAAACATCTGAATGAAAACCAACGAGCTCGGTGAGCAAGTCAACAAGCTTTACTTTTTATTTTCTATCAGTGATGTAAAGCTGTTTAATGACCTTGCCACGCCAAATATTTCTCTATTCAGCTCTCAAAAATAGAAATGCACATGTGAGAGCATGTACGAAAGATATATCAAGTTCTGATCACAATTAAGGTTGTGGGGGAGGGGTGGGTAGGGTGAAAGTCTCCTATTGTTACATCTCGGTGTTGCACTACCTCACAGTTGAGAATTGAGCAATGAAGGCACTCTACTGATATATAACACTCAGGGTTCTTACTAAAGTGCCTAACTCTTCTTTACCCCTATTTCTAATTTTAATATGTTGTATTTTGTTGAACATGATAAAGCTAATTTTGTGTCACCATAAAAAGACACAGTATTTGCTTGATCTATTTGTGCCTGTCATTTTTATCTGTGACAAATTCTTGCACTGCACTATTTGAAGAAATCTTGCATTTTACAGACACAGACAGTGAAACATAAGGTTGAAAGGATAAGCAAAATGTGAGTGTTTTCCTCTTGTTACTGAAATAATTAAAGATGTTAATTTTATATTGTATTCTACATCTATACCATCATACGTTTGTTCACATATTTTAGAAAAACTATAGCAAATATGAAGTGTTATCATTTGCCATATTTTCCCTATAGTATAAAGATAACACTTTAAAAGGCTGAATTGGTTTTGGAATCTTCTGAGGCCAAACTGTATAAATGCAACTTATTTCTTTCTACTTTGTTATTTCCTTTTTTCCAACTTCTTTTTCATTCTACCTCCTTTCTTTACTTCCTTTCTCCCTCTGCCCTTCTATCAAAAAGTGTGTCTGGTTAAAATCAAATTTGTAGCTTTGATGGATAAATAAATGACAGTCATTCCACCAGGGAAAATTATTTGTTTCACTGCCCTTTATTGCAATATTTTCAGGAGAAACCTGATTGCTCAGTTTATTTTCTTGGACACGTTTTCAGTTTTTCTAATTAGTAATTATTGCTCTCAAATCTCACATCAATAAAAAGTGGTCATTTTTGATCAGCTATGTTATCACAGATTTGAAATCCTCCTCTGGGGATCTGTGACATAGGTTATCATAGAAGTTTTTTCAGCTTTTTGTTGCTTTTATTCCATAAATCTTTCATTCCTTTTCAATGGTGTCATTTGACTGCTAAATTATTTTAATTGTATTGACTTCAGCACTTTAAGTCACACTGAGAATGCAACCACATGTCAGGTAATCCTGATATCAGGGTGTTGGTAACTATACCATCTGGGTGTCAGAGAAACCTGGCTACCCAATGTCTATAAATCATGTATGGCTTACGGTTAAGCAAAACTTTTAACAGACAAAAATGTCCCAAGGCATATCATTTTGTCAAGAAAAGGGCACTTTACTTCCATTCTTTTTTTATTTTCAAGGTAATTAAAATTACTTTGAAACCTATAGAGAAGATCAGGCATAATTTTGTAAAATCTGTTTCTAGCTACTGGGTAGCACAGATTTCCATACTGACGTACTGTTACTGCATGGCTTGTTTCCGCACAGCACCACACTGTGGAAGAAACTGAATACTACAACAGTAATTGGTTTACGATCCATTTGTGTAATCTAATTGCAATTTCTGAACAGTTTATGGATGGGTCATTGATTAAGTGAGTAGTTAAAAGAAGAAAAAATTGGCATTGTGAAATGGTGCAACTGCATTAATGATTTACCTTTTTAACACCTGGGAGAAGCATCAACCATTTTGCTAGACTGTTTTGTGAAAAAATTTGAATGATGTACATTTTGGAACCTTCAAGATAAAAGAATGTTCGATAATTAAAGGAATTGATTCTTGCTGACTTCTCAGCTATTTATTCAAAATAAAAGTTATAAATAAGTGTTAACATGGCACTGTTGCCTCTAAGTCAATAGATTGTGTGTTCAAATCCCAATCCAGAGTTTGGGCACAAAAATTGACGCTGACATCCAGTAATGGAGGCATTGCACTGTCAGAGCTGCCTTCTCTCAGATGATATGCTAAACCAGGACCCTGGCTGCCCCTTCAGATAGAAGTAACCGTTCTCATGACACTATTGCAAAGAAGAGCAAGGAATTATCCCACAACCAATATTATAGAAACAAATGGTCTTGTGGTTATCCCTTGCTCTTTGTGAAAGGTTATTGTACTGTTGTGTTTCCTACATCTCGACAGCCTTTAACTTTTAAAATTACTTCAATGTCTTCAAAGTGCTTTGGGACATCCTAAGATTGTAAATGCTCTATGTAGATGCAGCTTCTTCATTCCTTCCATCGTTCCTTGTTAAGTACTTGTAGTTTTGTTTGTTTCAAAAATAAGTTGACCTCACCATATTTTAAAGTATCCAGAATCTCAAGAATAGGAGAGAAAAGTTAATAATTGATCATTTTTATTATCCCTCAGGATTGAAGAAACTACAGAATTACTTAAGTGTCCAGAAAGTTCAGCTGACACGAATGTGCCAGGTTGTTTTCTATCACAAAAGCAAAGTACTGCAGATGCTGGAAATCTATTATAAAAGGCCAGGCAACATCTGTCAAAAAAGTGATTCAGGCTTCAGGTCCATGAGCTTTCATCAACACTGGTGCTGATCACTGTATTTTGTCAGTTTTGTTTATAAATTATAGTATTTATGGTGATAAAAATTAGAGTATATTTTTGCAATATTTTAATGTAATTGAATGTTTAACTTCTTCACCAACACTGAAATGTTTACAAGCTAAGTATTTGTAATACTGTAGTAGCGGAATAATTCCAAACTATCAGAAGTTGCGTTGGCTTATATCTGTGTTAAGGACAAGTGATATGAAGAGATTAAATGTTTCAACTTTACAAAGTTACCTGATATGAATAAAGATTATATTTCAATTTGTGTAGATTATGTTTTTTATACTAGGGATACCATGTATAGCTGGCACCATTTAGTATTGATTTATTACACAACCAGAAGTAGTGATGCAGATTAATTTGTATCCTGCACAAATTAGTGTTGCTTTTTATTTACCCTTTCATGTTATCTCCTATTTGCTTGATATTTGCACTAGAATCTTGGTTAATTCTTGATCAAATGGAAGATTTTATTTTACAGTGGTCTTATCTGCCAGCCGCATGCAGAAGTGGAAACAAGCATAAATTTAACCTTAAACATTAAGAAACTCAAAACAATGTTTTTTCATTGACCAGTTCCAGCCTTCGCTCAGTGGTAATGCTCTCTGTAGTATTTGACATTAATAAAGAGGCATCACTTGCCTTTTCAGGTGGATATAAAAGACCCCACAACTGTGTTTTAAATTGTCCTGGTGCCCTAGCTAACATTGATCCCTCAACAAACATCAGTAAAATCATTTTTCTCATTACTAGCTCACAAGCTAGCTGCTGTGTCCCCATATTACAACAGTTGACTACACTTCAAAACAGTAATTATTTGGAAAGCTTTGATGGTGTAAAAAGTACGACTCAATTGGTATCATGTTGGTAGTTTCTATTATTATCAATGAAAACAATCAATAATTTTGAACATAAGCGAGTGGGAGAAAGAAGAGAGAACGTGTAGACAGATTCTGGAAAGATGTAAAAACAGCAGGGTTGTTGTGGTGGGTGATCTAACCTCTCCTATATTGACTGGGACTCACTTTGTGCTATTGGGTTGTATGGTGCAGAATTTGTAAGGACCATTCAGGAGGATTTCTTGACGCAGTGTGTAAACAATCCAACCAGGGAAGGGGTTATACTGGACCTGGTTTTGGAAAATGAGCCTGGCCCGGTGAGTGAACATTGAACTGTACAGCACAGGAGTGGGTCCTTTGGCCCACAATGTTGTGCCGATCATGATGCCAAATGAAACTAATCCCTTCTGTCTGCCCTTGGTCCATATTCCTCCATTCTTTTGCGTATTCATGTGCTTATCTAAAGGTCCCTTAAATGCCCCTATCGTTTCTGTCTCCACCACCACCCTTGGCAGTGCGTTCCAGACTCTTACAACGCTCTGTGTTAAAAACTTGCCCCTCATGTCTCCTTTGAACTTCACCCTCTCAACTTAAATGCATGCACCCTAATATTAGACATTTCAATTATAGGAAAATGATTCTGACCATCAACCCTATCTATGCGTCTCATAATTTTATGGATTCCTAATGAGTTTCCCCTCAGCCTCTGCTGCTCAAGAGAAAACAACCCAAGTTTTTCTAGCCTCTCCTAGCCCATGCCCTCTAATCCAGGCAGCATCCTGGTAAACCTTTTCCGCAGCCTCACCAAAGCTTCCACATCCTTCCTGTAATGCAGCGACCAGAACTGAACACTAGAATCTACCTATTGAAGTATGGTTGAATTTAGTTGTAAAGTAAAGCAAATAGTAGGTTTAAATGCGGATTCAGAAATGAATGATCATATCAGCAATTAAAAACTTGAATTTGCATAGCATCGTTAATGCAAAAAAGTACCATAATTCTCAACAACAAAGTATAATCAGACAAAAATGAATATCAGACCAAAGCAGCAGGGTGACCAAAACCCCAGTAAAGGAGGTGGATTTTAAAAGACACTTCAAGAAAATTCAAGATTGTGGGATTGTAATAGGCCACCAATGGTGAGAAAAAAAGGAGGGGAGGTTGCAGAAGAGGTTGATATTGGTAGTGATACAGAGCTATAAGATATTATACAAAGAAAAACTGGTGAGACCATATCAGAAGACTGTTCAGAGTCAACCATACTGCTGCGGATCTGAGGTCACAAACAAGTCAGACCTGATAAGATGAGCAGAATTTCCTTTTCTAAACCTAGTGAACCCCACCACTAGTTTTTTTACAACAATTGATGATATATAGTTGTCATGGTCACCATGACTGAGGCTAGTTTAGTATTCCAGATTTACTAACTGAATGTACCTTACACCAACTGCTGTGGTGTGATTTGAATCTGTGTCCCCAGGGCATTACTCTAAATCTCTGGATTACTGATTCAGTGAAATTATCAGTATACCACCATCTCAAATGCTGCTGGCTGAGTTTGTGCAGATTTTTTGGTTCTATGGCTCTGAAGTAGTCAACTCTTAGAGGCCCAGTGATATGGTCCAGACAGTCTTGGGTCTTCTCAAGCAGGCTGCTTTATTGATCCTGAGGGAACCATGGGAATTGTTCCTTGTCATCTTTCTCCAGATATTTCCACTGGTTGGTAAATGACACAAGGTGGCCAGTTCACTTGTAAAAGACTGCCCTGTCAATTAAAAGTCATAGCTTGCAGCAACTGTTGCAGGGAAGATAAAATGATTTTCTTCAGATTTCATGTCCCTTTTGACTGCAGAGACCTCTTCCCAAGCTGGAGAAAAACTGAACACTCTCACAGTAATTTATACCCAGCGCCAAGTTGTTCAGTTCCTGACAATCAAGGTGAAGGCTTCCTTTGTCGTGTTGTAGCAACCAGCCTGTGGTCAGTGTATGGACCATAGAAGACCGTTAGGACAGTGTGGACAAGGGCCAATATAAACAACAGTTCCCTGTTATTTAAGAACCATGTCTCCATATTTTGTGTTTTTAAAAAAACTGAAATGAACTAAGAAAGAGCTGTTTTAAACCCAGTGTTTGAATGGGTCACTGCAGATTCTTTTTAAACTAAGTAACCATAAGATGTAGGAGCAGAAGTAGGCCATTCCGCCCATTGAGTCTGCTTTACCATTCAGTGAGATCGTGGCTGATCTGATAATCTACAATTCCATTTTCCTGCCATTTCTCCATCACCATTGATTCCCTTACTGATTGAAATCTGTCTATCTCAGCCTTGAATATACTTAACGACAGAGCCTTCACAGCCCTCTGCAGAAATGAATTCCACAGATTCACTACTTACAGAGAAGAAATACCTCCTTATCTCTGTCTTAAACATGTTATTATGACATTATGTCACTGGTCCTAGACTCTCCTATAAGAGGAAACAATCTTTTTCCATTTTCCTGAATCAAATCTCCTATGCATCTTGTATGCTTCAATAAGGTCACCTCTCAATCTTTTATATTCCAACAAGTGTAGGCACAACCTAAGCTTCATAAGACAGTCCCTCCAGACGTGCTATTAGCCTACTGAACCTTCTCTGGACTGCATCCAATTCCAAGACATCTTTCCTTAGATAAGGGCCCCATTTTACAGTATTAAAGCTGTGGTTTGACTCATGTTTTGTACAGCTTTAGCAAAGCTTCCCTACAAAATTCACTCTGGACTCCAACCCTCATGTTTGTGCAAGAACTCGACTAGAATGAGAACCTATACAGGGAAAACTTTACAGATTAAGGTTCCTGTCTCTTATGAGAAGCAGCAGGTTCAGTTACCATTGTAGTGAAAGGCTCAGGCCCAAGCTTGATGGGACAAAATTGGTTGTGAAAGATTCACCTATATTGGCTCTACATTTTTCAGTTAGAAAATGGCTGCCTGAGTGAAGTTTTAATTAAATGCCTGGAAGTTTTTCAGGAAGGTCTAGGGACTATCAAAGGAGCTAAGACCACCCTGCATGTTGACCAAGAAGCAAATCCACGATTCTGCAAGTCCTGTGCAGTGCCATTTGCCTTATGGGCAAAAAGCAGAGGCAGAAATCAGAAGGCTAGAAAGCAAAGGAATTATCAAACAAGTCAAGTTTGTGGAAAGGGTAGCCCTGGTCATACTGCTTGTGAGGCCTGATGGGTTGGTTTGCCTTATTGGGGATTTTAAACAAACACTAAACTGTTTTTCTCAGCTGGATAAATACCCAATTCCTTGCATAGAGAACTTATATGTAAAGCTAGCAGAGGGGCTGTCCTTCACAAAACTGGACATGACCCATGCATTCTTACAATTGTGCTTAGATGATGATTCTCAGAAGTATGCTACCCATAAAAAGTTTGTACCGATATACAAGACTGCCATTTAGGATATTGCCATCTGATGCAATTTTTCAGTGGACAATGGAGAACATTTTACAGGGTCTACCCAGGTTGCCGTTTACCTAGGTGATGTCCTAATAACAGAGAAGATCAATAAGGAGCACTTGGAGAACTTCAACATAGTCCTTAGACATTTCTGCCAGGTGAGATACTTAGGCCTTAGAAGGTAAAAATTACCCTAAGTGACCTACTTGGGATACGGAGTCAACAAGGCCGGTTTACAACAATTGAAAGATAAAGTGAGGGCAGTCAAAGGTCCCCTAGCTCCCACATCTGTACTGGAGCTTAGGTATTTCCTTGGTCTGTTGAATTATTACAGAAAGTTCATTCATAACCTGGCCTCTATCCTGGCACCTTTGCATCAACCCTTAAAATAGGGTCAGCCTTGGGAATGGTCACATAGCCAAACCATAGCTTTCAGGGAAGTGAAGAAACAGCTATCATCCTCTAAGGTGTTGGCACACTTTGATCTCAAGCGAGGTATTGCAATGCCTCTTTGTATGGCTTTGGGGTCATGTTAGCATAGTTGGCCCAATGGAGAGGAATGTATGCATCCAGGACTTTGGCTAATATACATCGTAAATATGGCCAAATAGAGAAAGAAGTTATGGCAGTTGTATTCAGAATCAGGTATGTCCACCAAAACCTTTATGGCTTGTAAATTTGTAATAATAATGGACCATAACCCCCTGCTAGGTCTACTTAAAGAGGATAAGGCAGTGATACCATAGCTTCAGGCCGAATTCAGTGGTGGGCTCTTAATTACAAGTTGGAACACCATCCGGGAGGCCAAATAGCAAATGCGAATGCATTGAGTTGCCTCCTGCTGGCAGATACATCACTGGTGGTACCGCCACTGGAAGAGTCCGTAATGGTTTTATGTTTTCTGGACACACTTCCAGTTACAGCTGATAATATCAGACACAGATCCAGTCCTGGCAAAACTGAAACAGCTGGTGGTGAT